TTAAAAAAAAAAAAAAAAAAGAAGTTGTGGCTCATGATACCTAATTCTGTTGAGGATGCATGAAATCCAGGTGGTAAGAGAAAACAAGAAGGTCAATGGAGAGACAATGACAGTGGAAGAAACAGGAAACACACAAACTGTCCTCAAACAGACAAAGGCCGTAGGGAGATCTTTGTAAAATCGTATTTCTCTGCTTCATCGGGAAATCCTTTCTTCCTGTATATATAGCCCACTGAACAGTCACTGAACAATCACCCCGGGATAAGATCACTGTAAAGTTGAGGCTACCTTGCTTAATTAGCCTTAAGGTACCATGAACAAAATTTTCAGGAACATTTTTATCAGGCAATGAAAATTCAAGTGGATTTTTTAATTTATTAACACCCAGGTACAGAAAGAGGTTAATACTACTGTCCAACTTAGTTTGGGAGTCTGTTTAGAAATGTCACCCCTCTTTCAAGTAATACACTGATGCTCAAACTGTCAGTGACCAACTTAAATCTCAAAAGGGAAAGTTCCAGCTCCTAGTTCCTGGTCTGCTCCCCTGCTTCTCATCATATACATGTAACAGGGTGGACAAGCTAATGACTGAGTACCTAGCACAGAACTGCTAAAAGATCTAACCAACAAAGAGACTGGATTTCTGTGTGTTCTTTCTGGTCAAGTCCATCCCTGACTGAAGTAAAAGCAGGCCACTATGCCAATGACTAAGTCACCAACTGAGATTATTTTGAGGCTTTTAGCTCTGTCCTGACTTTGGTAGAGTTATTGTTTCTCAGATTTGTCAATCCTGCCACGATGTACATGAAATAAATGGGCTTTCCCTTAATCACAGTTTAGTGTCTTTTCTATTTTTGTAGTCCTCTAAACAGTCCAAGATCCGCATCTGCTACCGCTCAAAGCATTTGCCATGTTCAATTTAAGATATCTGGCTGAGAGTCATCAGTGAATCAGTCTTTTGGCAAACTGCCCATCTGGGGTCTGACCTGAAACCAAGTAGCATATTTCCCATTGTGACAATTATCTCTTTTATAGGAGCAACTACAATAGTTATTCTAACTTCTAACTACTTCTTGTCTCTGGGAGAAGAATTTCCCATTTTAACCATAATGGGAGAATAAAGAGTCTACTAACTCAAAGTTACCCTAGACATGGGGATTGTCAATTTGCACAGAATTAAAACTTTAGGAAACATATTTAGCTTTGTAGCTTCCCAGCTCTTATGGAGACTCAAGAGTCAACATTATAAGCATAAACTGTCACGGGGCAGACGGCTATTAAAAGGTGTGGGACAGGAGACTCTCTGTCCAGACTCAGAGAGGTCACAGAAAGTCAACTGGAGAGGACCTTGCAGTAAAAATCATTCCCATCTGCACGGCTGCCACACCAACTCCGTCTGCAACCTTCCCCCTTCAGCGGTTCACATAGGGACACATGTGACTGCACCTGTGACCACTATGAGGCAGAGGGACGGCTGAGAACTCACCAGGCCACCCAGTCTTCTAGCTCCTCTGGGCCTAGGACATATGAAGAGTCCAGGGTCTAACATCAAAGGCCCATCATCAAAGCCTCTATTAAATCCAGAAAGAATTTTACACCAAGTGTACTCGGGAGAAAGGAATATGATTTATACTGAGGGTACTGGGGAGAAGGGGATATAATTTCCTTGAGTAAATACAGAGTTAATTTTCACCTTCAGCTGCTTTCAAGTAACATCAAAGACCCATGACACATGGTGCTGGCAACCTGTCTGACCTGCTACTTAATTAGTTCCTGAATAATAGTTAAAGGTTGAGCTGTCATAAATCGAAAGCGTATTTCCTATAGGTGCAATGTTATTTAAATTGGGGTTCATTCCTGGAAGTCCTTTTTACATCACAAAACTAGCAAAACATCATAAAAAATAAATATAGGACTTTCTAAAGTTAAGTGTGTAAAACCCAACATAAAAAAAAAAAAGCTCAGTACAAACATTACTTGTGGGAACTCTTCTGCATGGCTGACACTAACTGAGTCTTCTTAAAGTCTGAGTCCACTGAAGTCTGGACTGCAGAGACCATCTCTTCCGGCTGGCTAAGTGTCCCCGAGGGAGGCAGAGATGGGTATTTCTTTTTTTTTTTTTTTTTTCTTTTTTTTATTCTTATGTTAATCCCCATACATTACATCATTAGTTTTAGATGAAGTGTTCCATGATTCATTGTTTGTGCATAACACCCAGTGCTCCATGCAGAACGTGCCTTCTTTAATACCCATCATCAGGCCAACCCATCCTCCCACCCCCCTCCCCTCTAGAACCCTGTTTGTTTTTCAGAGTCCATCGTCTCTCATAGTTCGTCTACCCATCCGATTTCCCGAGATGGGTATTTCTTGTAGCAAGGATCTTTGAATTTCGAAGCATATGACAGACTCAAGGGAAAAAAACAAAGGCCCAGTTCCCTCAGCTAGCTGTGAGGGTTTTACCTAGGTGACCTCTACAGCCACTTCAGCTTTCACATCCTGGGACTCCACTCACATGACCACACGTGCCTTCCAAAAATGCCACTTCACCTACCACAGTCTACAGTGTTCTAACCATGCGTTTTAGCCACTGTATTAAAAAATTAATATCCTTGAGAAAAATATCTGTTTACAAGACGAATGTAAACTGGCATTTTTCAGAAAAGAACAAGAAAGTTTCCAAATTGTTTTCTTTCCCCAGTATTTTTCTGTACGAAACTAGTATTTGAAGGAATACCTATTGCCCTTCTACCTTATTTCAGATGGACTTTTATCAAGTTTACTTTAGGAGTCAGCCTCCGAAGTACACACTATACATTCCTGTACACTCTTCCTTGAGCGTGTCCTTCATGCAGTGAAGATTAAACACTGCTATTCACGCTGTGGGATATCTTTTTTTTTTTTTTTAAATAAAATAAACCTTTATTATGTGAAACATAGTCTCCTTCTGTCTCAGTCTGCTTGGCTAGCCTGCTATAACAAAATTCCATAAACTGTGTGGCTTAAGCAACTGACATTTATTGCTCTTAGATCTGGAGGTTGGGAAGTCCAAGATCAAGGTGACAGCAAATTATCTGATTCTTAGCGAGGGCTCGCTTCCTTTCTTATAGACGGCCACCTTCTTGCTGTATCTTCACGTGGCAGTGAGAAAGGGAGCTCTGCTGTCTCTTCCTCTTCTTACGAGAGCACTGATCCCATCATGGGGGCTCCACCTTCCTGACCTCATCTAAATCTATTTGCTTCTCAAGGCTCTCCCCCTCCTAAGACCATAATGCGGAGGGTTAGGGCCTCGTGTGCTGTGGGCTATCTACTGGGTGTCCCAGCGCACCTGACTGCAGCAGTTCTCAAAATGGTGCCTGGACCCCAAGTACCAGTCTCCCATGGCCCTACTGTGAATCAGAAACTCTGGAACTGGGGCCTAGCCTTTGCTTTAACAAGCCTCTCCTGGTGATCCTGATCCCTGTCACAGCCGGAGAGCCACTGCCGTGAGCGTCTCCTTTCTGCCAGAAGGCAAACTACAGCAGGAGTCAAGATAGATTGGCAGATGCTGAGTAAAATGAAGCTGCGGAAGTCCAGGAGAGGAAAGCCTTTTTTGGGTCCAGGGGTCCAGTCTCCTCAGGTTACCTTCCTTCTTTAACCCTATCTCCTCTGGCTGAGAAAGAACCGGAGTCACTGGTGTGTTCCTTGAGGAATGTGTCCTTTCCCCACAGCCGTACCTGGACTCAATATGGAAGCAACCATCAACAGGGATCTTAGACTCCTCTCCCCCAGATGCCTGAAGGAATCTGCTAAGGATACTTGTCGTGGGCATTCACTGTCTGTCTCCTGAGCACCCACCCACCCTCTGTTCTTCTAGAAACAGAACTGGTCTGAGAATCCAACCCTTCCCCACTCTTGGTCCGAAAAACAAGTGGGATGGGAGAAGGAATTTACCCCTCCAGGGTTAGAGCAAATGACACTGGTCATGCTGGCCTGGCCAGTCAGAACCCAGCACCATCCCCCCTGCACACTTCTTAGTTCCGGACCAATCGAAGTTGGTTTGGTGACAGTGAATCTCAGGACTTCTGAAAGAGCTAATAAGTAGAACCTGACTCTTTCCTGCTGCATCTCTGGACAATTCCAAGGCTAAAATGGCGGCATCTAACTTACCGTCTTCTTGCCATTTTGAGAAGGCAGAGCTGGAGACTGAAGAAAAACCAACTTCTTGTAATATCTGAATCAATGAATAGTGTCATACCTTAAGTTAGAATTATACCTGGACTTTTTAGCCAATAAAATTTCCTTTTTTGCTTCCCCGACTCTCAGCCAGCATTCTGATTACCTGAAAGCATCATAACTGATATGCTGCCCTTTGTGTATTCTTTCTTCCCTCCTCCCTTTCCTTCTTTGATAATTTTAAATTCTGTATCTACCTGCCTTGAATCTCTTTAGTTCTCTATTTTATTTATTGCTGCCTGCCTAATTTTCTACAACACTGTTTTTCAGATATTCCTGCTAAAAGGTCATCTCCCTCTTCATGACATTCGAAACTCCTAGAATCTGGCCTTTTCTCAATTGTCAATATCTCCTATTTCATTTCTCAATTCCAGTGACACTATTCCATTTATGTTTGCCCAACAAGTTTTCCTAAGTCTTGTGATAGAATTTTATCTTCTATTTTCTACATTCCTGTATTTTCTCTATCTAAATCCTAATTTTTTAAGGTCTAGCTTAAACCCTGTCTCTTATCGGGAAGAGTTCACCTATCCTACCAATATCCTCTAAGCTTCATTTTTTGGGGCAATGTATTATTATTTACCTTTCTATGTACACACATGTACTTTACCTCCTTGATAAAACTAACTGGCAAGAGGATAAGAATAGACTCAACCTTTATTTCCGTATTACCTTATAAAACACACAAACTTGTGTTTTAAATGTTTGAATTAATCACTGCTAAATACTTTAGACCTGGAGGGTCATTCTCTAGCCATTTCAAAACTGTAAAGTAATTCAGATCTTACCTTCAAGTCAAGATGAACTACATCATGAGCATGTAAAAAGTGGACACCTTCTAATATCTGCCTCATGAGTCTTTGAACATCCTTTTCTTTAAAGGCTTCTTCTCTGTCTGCAACACACTGGTCAAAGATTTCACCCCCAGCAGCACTAGAGAAGGACAGAAGCACGCTTTAATTATAAAGGGAAAGGGCTCATAAAAAATATTTAGCCTTTTTTTGTTCTTAATATTTTACACATTAAGTATCTTTATTTAGATAAACTATAATTTGAGTGTGTGTAAATGTCTGTCTACTTGCCTAAATCCATTTTTCTTTTTTAAATAAAAATATGAAGCTTCTAATATGAGGTAAGATTAACATTTCCAAAGCTAAATAAAAACATCACTTTAAGAACTTCAAGAATTAAACTTTAATAGTAAAATATATTAACATACTTTCAAGTGAAAATTTCTCTTTTTAAGATTTTATTTATTTATTTGAGAGACAGAGAGATAACGAGAGAGAGAGAGAGAGCATGAGCAGGGAGGAGAGGGAGAAACAAAACCCCTTTAAAGGACATTTACTTTCTTCCTAATTATTCACAATTATAAACAATGTTGTGATGAGAAGGCACATCACAGTTTCTCACACATTTGTTCATGTGCCAAGAGCTCCCAAGTGTAGACACCTAGAATGAACCAGCTGGAGTGAAGGGAATGTGCATTTAAAATTTTAATAGGAAGAGCCTATCCTCACCAAAAGTGCAATACTGATTTCAACTTTCTTCTAACCTCTGAGCAAAGCATCTCAGTTTGTTTGTTTTCCTCCAAATAATTTTGCCAATAAGAGGAAAAAAAATAATCAACATTTAAAAATTTTTATTTCTCTTTGGCAGAAAGTCCATACTTAAACACTTTGTTCATACCATAAATGACAGCTCATGTCATATCTCAAAATTTCTTGTATGTGTTTAAAAAAAAAATAGACTGGGTTGCTTTCATAAAGTTGTTACAAAATTGACATGAAATATATAACTCCAAACAGCCATGCTGCTCTCAGACCAGAGCTACTTATTAATTTCCTTTCAGTATGATAATTTAGTTCTTTTTTTCTTTCCTTTTCTGTTAAGCAACCTATTTCCAAATTCTGCCCATATAAGGAAAGACAATTTGTCACCAAAATTAGATAAGAACATATTTAAGTTTAGCTGAACAGTTGCAGGTGATCATTGGCTGATAAGGTTTTCATTTTGGCTAAACCTATACAACTGATTTTTTATTATATTTTGATTATAGTATTAAGAAACAAATATGGGGGCGCCTGGGTGGCTCAGTCGTTAAGCGTCTGCCTTCGGCTCAGGTCATGATCCCAGGATCCTGGGATCAAGCCCCGCATTGGGCTCCCTGCTCCTTGGGAAGCCTGCTTCTCCCTCTCCCGCTCCTCCTGCTTGTGTTCCCTCTCTTGCTGTGTCTCTGTCTATCAAATAAATAAATAAAATCTTTAAAAAAAAAAAAAAGAAACAAATATGAAAGCATTAAAATCATTTTTATGTATTTAACTGTAAAATGCCCATCACATATTCAGGCACGGTTAAAGTAATATACAAGTCATAAGAAAAGAAATGGTGAACATTCACAACATAATTACAGAGTAAATTAATTGCAGCCTGCCAATACCGTATACTGTTAATATGGATTTGATGACCTAAAGCAAAAGTCAGTATGAGCTGGGTCAACTCAGTCCCAAGCAGCTAGAGATACACCAGGATGTAACATATGGCCCTCTGCACGCACACACCACAATTTGCCAGTTACAACTCAGAACTGTCCATGTTCCTCAACTAAAACAAAGAACTGTATCTTGGTTGAAGAAAGTCTCCCAGCAATGTCTCTCAGCTCATTACCACCATTCACAATAAAATTCAATAAAGGTCCATTTACGTAAGTGAGAAGATTTATTTACTTAAACTTTAAGAGCAATTTATTATAACTTCTTTCCACTATAAGGTGTACCCATCCTTGCTTTAACGTAAGGGTTTCCTTTGTTTTCCCAACAAGTTAAGTAGTTTACATAAGCACAGAATATGAAGTATAAAACTACAGTTTTCTGAAAATTTCCAAGGATGTATTTCAAATGAGACTATTAAAGAAGCTGCAAAGGCTAGCCTAGCCTTCAGTGACCAGCAAGACTTGCACACCCTCTGATACAGTCTGCAATCATCCCAGTTTACATCTGCTTAAATGTAAGCTTGACCCCATTAACTGTCATATTAATGAGTAGAACTAAACAAAATTATCCTAAAGAACAGTGTGCAACATTTAAAAGCATCTGTTAAGTACTGTTAACAGGAAGTATAAGAACATTACCAACCACTTCACATGAAGTATCTTTCTTCACATAGAAGCCAGAGAAATGCTACAAGTTTTGTTGTGCCCTATCTTTTAACTACAGCAAGACTTCCACGGTTGTATTATAGTATATTTACTTTAGTGCTTATTTTCCACTACACAGACATGTGTTGGCAAAGATGTGGAGAAAAGGGAATCCTTGGGCACTGCTAGTGGGAATGTAGAGTGGTGCAGCCAGTACGGAAAACAGTATGGGGGCGCCTGGGTGGCTCAGTCCGGTAAGCGTCTGCCTTCGGCTCAGGTCATAATCCCAGGGTTCTGGGATAGAGTCCTGCATGGGGCTCCCTGCTCAGTGGGGAGCCTGCTTCTCCCTCTCCTTCTATTGCTCCCCCTGCTTTTGCTCTCTTGCTCTGTCAAATAAGTAAAATCTTTAAAAAAGAAAACAGTATGGAGTTCATCGAAGAATTAAGAACAGAACTTCCATATGATCTAGCAATCCCACTTCTGGTATATATACAAAAGAAATGAAAACAGAATCTCAAAAAGATTTACACTCCCATGTTCACTGAAGCATTAATCACAATAGCCAAGATATGAAAACACCTAAGCGTCCATGAATGGATGAATGGAAGAATGGACAAAGAAGAAGTTATACATATAATGGGATATTATTCAGCCACAGAAACATATTCCACTTACATGTGGAATCTAAAAAAGCAAAGCTCCTAGCAACAGAGACTAGAATGGTGGTTACCAGTGGGTGGGGAGGTGGAGGAAAAGGAGAGATACTGGTCAAAGGGAACAAACTTCCAGTTACAAGACAAGTAAATTCTGGAGATTTAATGTACAGCAGAGTGGTGATAGTTAATAATACTATATTATATACTTGAAAGTTGCTAAGAGAGTAAATCTTAAATGTTCTTACCACACACACACACACACACACACACACACACAAAGTAATTATATGACCTGATGCAGGTGTTAAGCTAATGCTCTGGTGGTAATCATTACACAATACATAACTTACAAAATGCTTTATGTCAACTATATCTCAATAAAGCTAGAAAAAATTTTAAAAATAAAACAAATAATGTATATAAAGCATATAAATAATTTACATAAAGCTGGCTGAAAGACTTAGCATAGTGCCTGGCACACAGTAAATTCTTAACACGAATATTATACTTTGTGTTCCCACAGCAACTAGCAAGCATTTCTAGTAAACACCAACACTGCTGCAATCATTTTTCTCTCCTTCACTAAACCTGTAGCACCTGGAGGGAAGAGGCTACGCTGTTTTTACTTTTATACCACCAGCACCTATTAGCACCTAGTGCATATGGAGGATACTTAAGTGTATGTGAAATGCATTAGTGACACGGTGAACATAAACCTGCCTGTTTCCCTAACAATAATCTATGGATGTGGCCAAGAATTTTGATATCTCAGTATCTAAAAATTTATTTCTAAGACTTTACCTTCCAACAAAAAGTAGAACACATTTTTAGCCAAATCATATTGATCTGTGGTTCTCAAACCATGATCACTGAATCAAAAGAAGCCACCAAAGATTTCTAAGCAAGGGAATAGTATCACCACATCTACGTCTTAGTTACCTAACAGAAGCCTGCGGAACATCCTAGAATTGAAGCCAGGGTGATCAGCCAAGAAGCTACTGAGAGTCCATGGGAGAGACGATGAGGACCCAAAACAGAGGAGAAACAGCAAGTACCAAGAAAAAGGGATGCAGGGGTGAGGCTTACGTGGAAGACTTGGTAATTTATTATATACGTGCTTTTAAAGGAGATAAGGGAAATGAGGATAGAGTCAAGGTTTCTAGCCTGAGCTATGAAATTAATGGGGTAACAATGGAAATGGGGAACAAGAGAAAAACAGGCATTATCAGGGCAATGCAGGAGTGCACACATATTGATCCTGAATTGATAATGATGTGTGGTTGGATACAGAGATACGCAGTAGGCAGTTAGAACTTAGAAGGTCCAAGGTTGGAGACAAAGATTTGGAAAAAATCACATGTAAATAATAGCTGAAGCCACAAACATAGATTGTTATCAGAGTAAATGTACAGAATATAAATATATGACAAGAACAACACTAAGGAACTCTGGGGAGCACTTGTGTTCATACAGTAGAAGCAGGGTAAAAGGCTGTGACAGATTTAAAAAAAAAAAAGAGGACCCTGAAAGCCAAGAAAGGACATCATTTCAAGAAAGGTATAATAAAGTGTTTAGAGAGAGTGAGAAGTGGAGTGAACACTAAAAAGAGGAGACAGATTTTGGCAAACGGTTTGAGAAGAGCAGGTGCGGCAGAATGAGAGTAATGGCGGATGCATGGAACAGCGAAGAACAAAATGGACTAGAAGGTGAGGAAAGCTGTAAAGTCAGCCTGCTCCTTTAAAAAGTACAGCAGTAAAGGAAAGAGCAAGCCAGGACCATGGTTTAAAGACAGTCAAAGCTGAGGAAAAGGAATTTTAGGATAAGAGAGACAGCAACACTGGAAGACAAAGGAAAAGAACCGCCTTGGAAGAGGGGCTGAAGAGCTGACAGAGGTCAGTGAACTGATTTAAAGACAAAACAATGGCCCTAGAAAAGGAAGGAAGAGAATTAAAGAGCCCAAGTTAAGGTCTCAGCCTCAGAGTTAAGCAGTGGAAACTTCGAACAAAAGGGAAAGGGTGAAGGATGCCAAGGGAGGGTGCCTGCTGGTAGGTATCTGAGAAAAGATGGAAAGTGGTGATGTAGGAAGTGTGTTAAAAGTTTTGAGTAGATCCTGGCAGGGGAGGCGGGGGGTGGGGGGTGGGGGGTGGGGGTGGGGACGACACATTAAAAGAATGAGAGATTAGGTAAAGAATGACCCAACGACAGCGAAAGCCCATCTGAGGACCCTTCACGCTTGTAACAAGCAGGTCAAAGATGACACAAATCTTCCCCGAGTGTGCAGGAGGAAGCACAGGCTGGGGTTCCAAACTGGCCAAAGGACTTGCCGAGGAAGACTAGGAGGAAGAAGGAAATAATGCGAGGTGCTGGCGAGAGGTCAGCCAAACTAACTACTGAAGAAGAAAGGGAATCACGGGAAAGAAAAAAGGCAGGGGCTGGCTGAAAGACAGGGGACCTGAGAAGAGCTCAGGATTAAAGGCTGAAGAGCAGGTTTGGTGAGAACAGGAGAGGAATCTGGTCAGAGAATAATACTTCACAAAGTCTTTTCTAGAATCAACTTCTAATTCTGCCTTGATCCTCTCCAAAACAAACTGGAAACCAAAAACCTAGGTAGGCAGGGCATTTATATATGAGATTCCTAAACCAGCTTTTTTTTTTTTCTAAGTTGGAAAACAACTTTATTCAGGTATGATCCACATATACTACATTTGTTACCCATCCCATTTTTAATATTTTTCCGATTATAATTAAAAATACCCTGTGTGAAACACTTTTGTACTTCTCACTGTTCACATTTTATAATTCCTTTAGAAGGGATTCCTAGAAGTGAAATTATGGAATTAAAATTTATGAACACGATGCTCTTGAGTTAATTATCAAGAGGAAACCACTATTTTAGCCATCCAGAATTTGCTTTCTACAAATTTTTAAATTTTTTAAAAACAACACTACACATTTTTTAACTTTTTTCTTTTTAACAATATTAAAAAAAAATCCATGTCGAAACATTTGGATCCACCTTAGCTTTTTTTAAATGACTGCACAGTAATTCACTTTGTGACATTATCACTTACTTAACCAACCAACCCCTCTCTATTGAACAATTAGGTTATTTCTTTTTTGCTACATTAAAAAAAAAAATTCACTAAATATTTTCTAACACATCTTTGCCCAACTGCCTGATTATTGCCTTGTGAAAAAATATGTAAGTGAAATTGCTGGATTAAAGAGTGTTGTGGGTTGTTTTTTTTTTTAAGTTTTTGATACATAATTCCAGTCTGTCCTCCAGGAAAGTTGCACCAATGAATACTCCCACCTGTAGTATAAATCTGATGGTTCAGCCCATGAATATCATTTTCTCTTTATGATTTTTGCCACTCTTATAAGGGGAAATTGAAAACTTATTTTCAAATTTACATTATAAAAATCGTAAGAATCAATATTTTTCATGTACATATAGGCCATTTATATATACATATGTCTATGTGGAATTTCTCTTCATATCTGTTAAAAAGAAAAGCACAGGCCCAAAATGGTATCACTTAGACCAAATCCCCAAACTGGGGCTTAATTAATACCTATGCTCACTGCAGTTTCAACCGCCCCCAGAAGTGTAAGTCTTAACCAGTCAGTCAGAAAATTTCTGACCAACATCAGTGAGGAATCTCACATGGGCCCTTCTCCATCCCCCCAAAAGAAGATGAGGTAATCCCACCTAGTAAGACCCCCTGCCCTTCCCACAGGGGAAGGCGATCTTGCCTGAAACAATCCTTTCTTTTCTTTTGCTAATAGCTTTTTGCCACACCCTCCTTCCTAGAAAAACTGTCCATTTTGTACAACTCCCTGGAGCTGCCCTCCGCTAGAGGAAAACAGGATTTCTTAAGAGGAAAAAACTTCATTTTCCAAAGCTGTTTCCTACACACTCTCTACTTACTCAAATGAAAACATGGTATGAATCAAAACAATCGTTTCTGAAAGAAGGGAGATTATTAACTCAGACTATATGAACATGTAAGGGATTGTAACATGTCTCTTATTTTAGTATTACCATGTTACCACTTACTTTCTGAAGAATGCCTCTAATAAGAACATAAGAGAACTTTACTGTCAGAAGGATTTCATTAAAGAATGAAAATAAAAAGTCTAATATACATGCATTCTTATTAATCTGGTGTTTTCCGAATTAAAAAGAGAAACACATGAAAAAGTTCTGGAAAGTCTTCAGATTTCCAGAGCCAGGCTGCAACAACATATCACAGATGACTAGCATCCTATGAAGTGTGGACTATCAAACAAACTTTATCTAAGGAAAACAATACTTACTATTCCAGAACTAAGATCATTTCTGATGGAGTTTCATAGACTTCATGTAAATTAATGACCCATGGATTGTCCTGTGCTAGTTCAAGAACTGCAATCTCATGAATTATTTCCATCCGACAATCTTGACCTTTTCTTCTTTTTCTCATGAACTTTGCTGCAAATTCTTTTCCAGAATCTTTCTTTATACATTTCCTCACCACTGCAAATTTCCCCCTAGAATTAAACAAAAACATTCACTGTTAAACTCGACAACTTTCTAGAAATGGTAAATTTTAATAAAATTTCCAAATATTCATCAGTGGATATTCAAATTTAGACCATAATTCAAACACAAATGCAGCACTATCACTTAGGAATTTAATAGGTACATCTATAACCAAATAAAATGTAACTGGTAAACCTGCAAAATTCCTTCTGAATAGAGAATAACCAAATATTAAAGTCAATATTTTTTGCAGTTATACATAAACTTTTTTTTTTACACATTTATACAGAAGAATGATTTAAATCTTGAAAACAGGCATTTGACTTGTTAAGAGAAACTGGTTATCAGAATTCCTAAAAGAACTGAATTGACTCTAATACTAGATCGCCTTTCAAAACTATAAAAGTTAGGGATCTCATTTATGTATTTCAACTACAGCATCAGCTGGAAAGGTCTAGTTTTCCTATAAAGACAGATACAACAAGCATTATTTTGATACACTACACTATCATTTGTTATTAAACTAATAAGTGAGTCACAGGGGAGTCAGTATAACAAACTAAGCAAATTAAGGCTATGAGCTCTAGAATTAGATGTGAGTTTGAATCCCACAAATAGTTCTGCAGCTCACTTGGGCAATTCATTTAACATTTTTAAATCTCATCGTCCTTATCTGTAAAAGAGGACACCCCAGAATCCACTTCATAGGGTTGTGTGAGAATTCAAGTATATAATACATATCAATTGCTTAACATGGGACTTGCCACATAAGTGCTAAATGAAATATTATTAATCAAACAAATCATTAATTTGCAATAGTCATCACCCAAAAATACCCAATCTTTAAGTTGGAAGGCAGCTTAGAAATCAGTTTGGTTTTTTTTTATTCTTATGTTAATCCCCATACATTACATCATTAGTTTTAGATGAAGTGTTCCATGATTCATTGTTTGTGCATAACACCCAGTGCTCCATGCAGAATGTGCCCTCCTCAATACCCACCACCAGGCTAACCCATCCTCCCACCCCCCCCCTCCCCTCTAGAACCCTGTTTGTTTTTCAGAGTCCATCGTCTCTCATGGTTCGTCTACCCCTCCGATTTCCCCCGCTTCATTCTTCCCCTCCCGCTACCTTCTTCTTTTTTTTTTTTCTTAACATATATTGCATTATTTGTTTCAGAGGTACAGATCTGAGATTCAACAGTCTTGCACAATTCACAGCGCTTACCAGAGCACATACCCTCCCCAGTGTCTATCACCCAGTCACCCCATCCCTCCCACCCCAACCCCCACTCCAGCAACCCTCAGTTTGTTTCCTATAATTAAGAATTCCTCATATCAGTGAGGTCATATGATACATGTCTTTCTCTGATTGACTTATTTCGCTCAGCATAATACCCTCCAGTTCCATCCACGTCGTTGCAAATGGCAAGATCTCATTCCTTTTGATGGCTGCATAATATTCCATTGTGTATATATACCACATCTGCTTTATCCATTCATCTGTCGATGGACATCTTGGCTCTTTCCACAGTTTGGCTATTGTGGACATTGCTGCTATAAACATCGGGGTGCACGTACCCCTTCGGATCCCTACATTTGTATATTTGGGGTAAATACCCAGTAGTGCAATTGCTGGATCGTCTGGGTGCATATTATTTTAATACGATTTTCATTACAAGCCTAAAGTGAAGGGCTGTGAAGTCTGGGCCTTTTGCTGAGCAGTACACAAAGACCTTTCTCTTCCAAATACCAATCTGTCGGGTATTGACCGAAGCTAAGGATCTGGTAACTGCCACTCCCTCGTCCCATTTTTTTTTTTTTTTTAAGATTTTTATTTATTTAACAGAGAGAGAGAGCACAAGTAAGCAGAGCAGCAGGCAGAGGGAGAGGGAGAAGCAGGCTCTCCACTGAGCAGGGAGTCCGATGCGGGGCTCGATCCCAGGACCCTGGGATCATGACCTGAGCCGAAGGCAGCCGCTTAACCGACCGAGCCACCCAGGTGCTCCTCCCATTTTTTTTTTTTTTTTAAGATTTTATTTATTTGAGAGAGAGGAAGAGAGAAAGTACAAGTGGGGAGGGGGGAGGGGCAGGACCCAGGACCCTGGGATCATGACCTGAGCCAAAGGCAGACGCTTAACCGACTGAGTCACCCAGGTGCCCCTCCTTTTTCCAATTTCAATCATTCCTCATCCCCATGAAGGTTTTGAACACTTTGTCATTATTACAGCTCATCAGAACTGCTGATAAGATTGTGTCAACCAAATCTGAAGCAACTCCCCCAAGTATAATCAGATCAAAGGGTTACATCATTATTATTTTGTTGATCTTGGTACAATACAACCTAATATTTGCTTTTAAAAAAAACCTGACAGGTTTTTCATATTTCATATTGAGCTGGTAAATAAACCATCTAGATCTTTTTCCTTTTGAATTTTTTCAAGCCAGCATCCTCATATTTTTAAAATACGGTTTTTGTTTCTTTGGTTTTTTAAGACTTATTTGAGAAAGAGAGAGAGAGAGAGAGAGAGAGAGAGTGCACAGGGAAGGGGCAGAGGGAGAGGGAGAGGGAATTCCAAGCAGACTCCACACTGAGCACAGAGTGCTACACGATGCTTAATCCCACCATCCTGAGATCACGACCTGAGCAGAAACCAAGAGTTGCACACTTAACCAACTGAGTCATCCAGGTGCCCCAATTTTTAAAATGTTTTAAAAAAATTAAAAGCAAGGCTTTCATGTTCTGTTAAATTTTAATTTTTAGGTTCGGACCCAGCATTCTAGACTACTAATGTAATTTTGATTACTAATTCTTCCTTCCTAGCTACTGTTAACCATAAATATATTTTTCATGCACTCTATACTTTTGTAACCACACTAATAAAAATGTTAAAGGATATATCCTTAGGCATATCTGTGAACATAGTTACTCACATTAGTAACAATCTACCTAACAGCACCCTTGTTCAGATCAAAGTTCTTCTTGTTCACAAAAATGTGAAAGACTCCTATAGATGCTTAGAGGGATTAAATCATAAACCTATTCATCGCAGACTAATGCCTTTTATTTTACCCCACAAAATCATTAGACTAATATCTCCATCAAGTTTTAAAAGGTTCCTAACGACCACTGGGTTCTTTTGAGAACAAAAATCACAGATATTAAAAGAATCAGGGGCGCCTGGGTGGCTCAGTCAGTTAAGCGTCTGCCTTCAGCTCAGGTCATGATCTCAGGGTCCTGGGATCAAGCCCCACATTGGGCTCCCCTGCTCAGTAGGGAGTCTGCTTCTCCCTCTCCCTCTGCCCCTCACTTTTGCTTGCTCTCTCTTTCTCTCAAATAAATAAAATCTTTTTTTAAAAAATAAAAGGATCAAATTATTAATATGTCAGAAGTTTCAAAAGAAGAGAAAAAAAGAGGAAGTTTCATTTATAAAAAACTGACCAACATATCTAATTGACAGCAAGCATGTTCCTGGTAAATTAGAAATGACTCCGCTGAACTGCTTTCAAAATATTCCCCCATCAAACACACAAATGTTTACTGTTCACACACTTAACATTCCAGGCAATACAGTACTCTGCACTAAGTAAAATACTACTTAATATCTGGCCTGAATGCGTATTTTTGAAAAGATGGGAAGACAAATGACTCAAAAGAGAAAGGGATTCATACACATTGCAAACCTACAAACTCTGGGAGCCCTTGTTACAGAAAAGCTATTGCTAAATTCAGGAACCAGAGACAAATACAGGAAAGAGCCCCATACTTATTAATTCAACATCTGGGGCCATACAACCATTTCTTAGGGTCATCAGCACAATTCCCCTGGCTCTCCACCCACACCAATGACTACTACTCTTAACACCGCCTTTGTTTTTGTGGAAGCACTCCTCACAGTTTTAGGTTTATTCTTTCTTTCCACCCTGTCATGCACTGTATTGGGAGTCAGCAAACTTTTCTGTAGAGGGGCAGATAGCAAATATTTTCAGTCTTGCTGGTCTCTGTCGCCACTAGGCAAGTCTGCTTTGTAAAATGAAAGCAGAGACAAAAGGTAAATGAATGGGTGGATCTGGGTTTTAAAAAACAAAACAAAACTTTATGGACACTGAAATATGAATTTCATATAATTTCCATGTTATTAAACATTACTCTTCTGATCTTTTCAACCATTTACAAATATAAAAATCATTCTGTATAGCTCATGAGCCTTACAAAAATAGGTGGCCAGCAGCAGTCTGTCAACCCCTGCATTATCCCACACCGAAGCAAGTCGTCCATCATTCTGATACCGAAACTGACAGCAAGAGCAGCAGATCATGATGGTTTTGAGGAAACTTGTATTGCCTTCATCTCTAAATGACTGGTGCAATGGGAGGAGAACTCTTGAAACTACTCAAGACTCCAAAGGAGATAAAAAGAGATTTCTGAAACTGTTCCTTCTGTAGAGCAACAGAGTACACGGAAATGTGAGATTCAGTATTCAAGGGGCCGAGTCCTAGTGAACACATTAAGAATCACATCATCACAGTGTCTAAATTCCACACCCCACAAGGATTCCAATATGCATGTTTTACCACAGCTTCAGGGCAAAAATCCTGATTGTATCTAAACCCTGAATTTTAGGTTACTTAGGCAAAAACATAAAATAAAGTTTTCTCCAGACACTAGTGGCCACAGTTAATATACAGACTTGAGGCTGATGAGGTTCAAAGGGCATAAGATGTTTGTTTAATATCTACTTTCTTTACTGATTTAGCCAAAATTCTTCCTGGACTACATAGTTATTACATTTTTCTGAGTTCTTCATCCATTTCACAAAAATCTATAGTTCACTATTACACACTAAACTGACAACTCAGGTCTACATTAAACAGTTTTGGGGGGATATCAAAAATCAATTTCAGAACTACTCAATGATAATACATTGCAGAGCAGTGGGAAAGTAAGATATATCAACAAATAAGAGGAAGGACATCTGAGTTAGACCCAACAGTCCAAGCCTCCTAAG